ATCATAGGAGATGGTTGAATCATTCAATTTATGACTGTTTTTAAAATTAGCAAGATTTTATCACAGGGATGAACTTAGAACTGAAACCGACCCAAACCGACCCAACCTGACTCAAACCGACCAGGTCGGATTTGCTTAACACTGGGTCAGTTTCGGTTTTTATGTCAGGTAACCCGACTAGGTCGGGTCGGTTGGAAAAATCGTAGTAAACCGACCCAACCCGACCCATGAACAACCCTACAAACAAGAAGATAGTTGTGAAAAGAATAGTAAACCTCTCTTGTAACTCTCTCGAGAGACAAAGAGACTATTAATCACACCAAGATTGAGGGTCATAAATAGTTACATTCCTCCTCTTCAGACAATAGAGTTTAGGAGTAGGAAAAGAAGATAAAGAGGTTGGGTTAGAGCTTAAAACTATTTAGAACTTACGTAAAAGACAAAGCTAATCTATTTACTGGAGAGCATAATTTTATTGATGAATTTAAACCATTAAATACAACTAAATCAGATATGCACGTAGCAGAAAAATAGGCAGCAACTAACCCATCACTAACAACTCCTAAACTCATGGCTTTTTCCAAAAGAATTGGTAAACACTACCTAACTTCCTAAAGAATAGGATTACAAATTTATTCTGCTGAATAACAACAAAATAATAAACTTTAACACCCTCCCTTAAACTGAATGTTATACAATCAGCATTCAGTTTAAACTAGAAAAAGAAACAACTCCAAACAAATCACGCAGCTTCACAAATGCACCCAATTTGAGAGGCTTGGTTAGTATATCTGCAACCCGGTCTTTACTGCGACAATAAACCAATTCAATGACTCCTTTTGTGAGATCTCAAAGAAAATGGTATCTTACATCTATGTGTTTGCTCCTACCATGTAAAACAGGATTCTTGGATAGTTTAATGGTTGAACTATTATCACAATATATCTGTATACTCTCCTGCTTCAAACAATGCAACAATTCAAGTATTCTTTTCAACCAAATAGCTTGACACACACAAGAAGCTGCTGCTATAAACTCTGCTTCTGTTGTAGACAATGTAACAACTTGTTGTTTCTTTGATGCCCATGAAACAGCCCCTGAATTCATCATAAAGACATGACCATAAGTACTTTTTCTATCCTCTAAGTCTCTTGCATAATCACTATCACTAAAGCCAATAAGATCTGATCCTCCTCCTTTTTGATAAAAGATACCAAAATCAAGTGTATCTTTCAAGTAGTGTAAGATTCTCTTTGCAGCAAGGAGATGAAGCTCAGTTGGAGATTCCACAAACCTGCTAATTAAACTTACAACATACATAATATCAGGTCTAGTTGTTGTTAAGTACATCAAACTTCCAACAATTTGCTTGTATAAAGTACTATTAATCTTCTTTCCTTCATAGTCCTTCGTGAGCTTCAAACTTGGTTCAATTGGAGTTCCCACTGAATTACAGTCCATCATCTGAAACCTGTCCAAGATCTCTAAAGCATATTTCTTTTGTGTGATGAAAATCCCAACTGTTGATTGCACTACTTCGATGCCAAGAAAATAGTGCATCATTCCTAGATCGGTCATCTCGAATTCTGCCATCATGGACTTTTTAAACTCCTCAAACATTACTTGATCATTTCCTGTGTAGATTAAATCATCCACATACAAACAAACAATCATGATTTTCTCTACAGATTCTGATTTAATAAAGAGAGTACGTTCATATGGACATTTTTTAAACCCAGCCTTGGCAAAATAAGTCTCAATGCAGTTGTACCAAGCTCTAGGTGCTTGTTTCAACCCGTATAAAGCCTTCTTCAACCTGTACATTTTTTCTTCACTTCCTTGTTGCACATAGACAGGGGGTTGATCTATAAAAACCTGGTCATCCAGATTGCCATGTAGAAAAGTAGATTTCACGTCCATTTGAAAGGTTGGCCTATAATTTTGTGCTGTCAAAACCACCACCATTCGAATAGTATCATGCTTTGCAACCGGAGCAAAAACTTCCTTCTAATCAACGCCAAATTGCTGCTTGTATCCCTTTGCAACGAGTCGAGCTTTATACTTGTCTACTTTGCCATCTTTGTTCAACTTAGTTTTATAAACCCATTTAACACCAATGGATTTTTGTCCGTTTGGAAGTTTCGACAGCTCCCATGTGTTGTTTTTCTCTATTCACCTGATCTCTTCATCCATGGCTTTTTGCCGTTTTGGATATTTGATAGCTTCTTGGAAGGTTATTGGATCACAATCTGATAATAAAGCATAATGAGCAAGAGTATCATTAGAATGATCACCACTAACCTCATAATCCTCCATCCATGTTGGTCTTCTTCTGATTCGTTGAGATCTTGAACTTGCACCTTCTGTTTGAGCTTCGGTGACATCAAGTGGCTGCTACAACTGATGGTCAAGTTGTAATGACAGAGGTGTATCAGAAATAGTTTGCATTTCTGCTCATTTTTTTTCAAAATCCACAGGTATTGGCTGCTGCCCTGTAGTGTTCTCTGTCCAATTCCATGTATTTTCTTCATCAAAAACAACATCGCGACTGATGACAATCTTTCTTGTGATTGGATTGAATAACTTGTAAGCCTTTGACTGCTCAATAATTCTAAGAAAAACACATTTTTCGCCTTTGTCATCCAACTTTTTCCTCTTCTCATCGGGAATGTGTGCATATGCAATGCACCAAAAGACTTTAAAATGATCAACCGATGGTTTCCATCCATCCAAGCTTCTTGTGGAGTTTCTAACCGAAAAGGTGGGACTTCGATTCAAAACATGAACACTCCAATTTACTGCTTCCGGCCATAATCTTTTTGGAATCCTTCCATTTGCTGTCATGCTTCGAACCATGTTGAGGATAGTCTGATTCTTCCTTTCTGCTACGCCATTTTGCTAAGGCATGTAGGCTGCTGTCAATTGACGTTGAATTCCATGCTCATCACGAAAATTTGCAAATTCTTGTGACATATATTCTCCCCCACGATCAGTTCAGAGAGTCTTAATTGTTCTCCCAACTTCATTCTCCACTAAGGCTTTAAAGCTTTTAAAAGTTGAGAATGCTTCAGATTTTTCCTGCAAGAAATAAGTCCATGTTTTTCGACAATAATTGTCAATAAAAGAAATAAAATATTTCTTTTTACCATTTGATATTGGGTTTATTGGACCACATATATCAGAATGGATTAGCTCCAATGGTCTATGCGCTCTCCATGCCTTGCCTTTTGAAAATTGTTCACGATGTTGTTTGTCAACAACACATTCTTCACATATTTTGGAGAGATGAGTAATTTGAGGAAGGCCGGTCACCATTTGCTTCTGAGAAAGAATCTGTAGACCTTTGAAATTCAAATGGGCATATTGCAAATGCCAAAGCCATGTGGACTCATTTACATCAGCCTTAAAACACGTTTCAATGCTTTCTATTTTAAGTGGAAACAACCTGTTTGAAGTCATCTTGACATGAGCTATTATTCTTCTTCTTGGATCATAGATTTCACAAGCACCTCCCTTGATTGTTGTCTCATATCCCTTCTCCTGCAGCTGTCCAACACTTAATAAATTGCTTTTCAAATCAGAGCCAACAAGAATTCATATATTGGTAGTACCGGAAGCTAGGATTGGCAACAACAATGACATGAGAGCAGCTAGTCACTTCCTTCAAGTTCAACATGATTTCAATGAAAATGATTATGAGATGTTATTGGCTCTTGATGAGAACAATCATTAACATGGTGGTGCATCTCTTAGTCAGATTACTGACCTACCACAGTCAACTATCTAGGGGAACGGGGCTGCATTTTAAGATTGTGCAGGAAGGTTGCTTTCTATTGATTGTTGCCCCACCCTCTTTGTTGCATGCAGACTGATAACTTAGAAGAAGCTTGTGCAATCTGTCTTGAGACCCCAAAAACTGGAGATAAAATTCGCCATCTTCCCTGCTTGCACAAATTTCACAAAGATTGTATTGATCCTTGGCTGAGAAGGAAAACATTATGTCCAGTTTGCAAGTCCTCTATCACTTGATATGCACATATATTCGAGTCCTTCATGCTAGTGCATTGCGGCAGGTTATATTGAGGTTGCAAGTAGTAACATTTTTGGTTTTGTAGGCCCCACGTCACAGTTTGTTGCACATAGCCAGGGGGTTGATCTATAAAAACCTGCTCATCCAGATTGCCATGTAGAAAAGCTGATTTCACGTCCATTTGAAAGGTTGGCCAAATCTGAGAAATTTGATTCACCAAGTACTGTGACGTGGGGCCTACAAAACCAAAAGTATTACTACTTGCAACCTCAATATAACCTGTTGCAATGCACTAGCATGAAGGACTCAAATATACATGCATATCAAGTGATAGAGGACTTACAAACCGAACATAATGTTTTCCTTCTCAGCCAAGGATCAATACAATCTTTGTGAAATTTGTGCAAGCAGGGAAGATGGCGAATTTTATCTCCAGTTTTTGGGGTCTCAAGACAGATTGCACAAGCTTCTTCTAAGTTATCAGTCTGCATGCAACAAAGAGGGTGGGGCAACAATCAATAGAAAGCAACCTTCCTGCACAATCTTAAAATGCAGCCCCGCTCCCCTAGATAGTTGACTGTGGCAGGCTAGTAATCTGACTAAGAGATACACCACCATGTTGATGATTGTTCTCATCAAGAGCCAATAACATCTCATAATCATTTTCATTGAAATCACGTTGAACTTGAAGGAAGTGACTAGCTACTCCCATGTCATTGTTGTTGCCAACCCTAGCTTCCAGTACTTCCAATATATGAATTCTTATTGGCTCTGATTTGAAAAGCAATTTATCAAGTGTTGGACAACTGCAGAAGAAGGGATATGAGACAATAATCAAAGGAGGTGCTTGTGAAATCTATGATCCAATAAGAAGAATAATAGCTCATGTCAAGATGACTTCAAACAGGTTGTTTCCACTTAAAATAGAAAGCATTGAAACGTGTTTTAAGGCTGATGTAAATGAGTCCACATGGCTTTGGCATTTGCGATATGCCCATTTGAATTTCAAAGGTCTACAGATTCTTTCTCAGAAGCAAATGATGGCTGGCCTTCCTCAAAGGTTTTCATAGATCAACCCCCTGGCTATGTGCAACAAGAAAGTGAAGAAAAAATGTACAAATTGAAGAATGTTTTATACGGGCTGAAACAAGCACCTAGAGCTTGGTACAGCCGCATTGAGACTTATTTTGCTAAGGCTGAGTTTAAAAAATGTCCATATGAGCATACTCTCTTTATTAAATAGAATCTGTAGAGAATCCTAATTGTTTGTTTGTATGTGGATGATTTAGTCTACACAGAAAATGATCAAGCAATGTTTGAGGAGTTTAAAAAGTCCATGATGGTAGAATTCGAGATGACCGATCTAGGAATGATGCACTATTTTCTTGGCATCGAAGTAGTGCAATCAACAGCTGGGATTTTCATCACACAAAAGAAATATGCTTTGGAGATCTTGGACAGGTTTCAGATGATTGACTGTAATTCAGTGGGAACTCCAACTGGACCAAGTTTGAAGCTCACGAAGGACTATGAAGGAAAGAAGATTAATAGTACTTTATACAAGCAAATTGTTAGAAGTTTGATGTATTTAACAACTAAACCTGATATTATGTATGATGTAAGTTTAATTAGCAGGTTTATGGAATCTCCAACTAAACTTCATCTCCTTGCTGCAAAGAGAATCTTACACTACTTGAAAGGTACACTTGATTTTGGTATCTTTTATCAAAAAGGAAGATCAGATCTTATTGGTTTCAGTGAAAGTGATTATGTAGGAGACTTAAGATAATAGAAAAAATACTTCTGATCGTATCTTTATGATGAGTTCAGGAGTTGTTTCATGAACATCAAAGAAACAAGTTATTACATTGTCTACAACAGAAGCAGAGTTTATAGCAGCAGCTTCTTGTGTGTATCAAACTATTTGATTGAAATGAATACTTGAATTGTTACATTGTTTCAAGCAGAAGAGTATACAGATATATTGTGATAATAATTCAGCCATTAAACTATCCAAGAATCCAGTTCTACATGATAATAACAAACACATAGATGCGAGATACCATTTTCTTCGAGATCTCACAAAAGAAGGAATCATTGAATTGGTTTATTGTTGCAGTGAAGACCAAGTTGCAAATATACTAACTAAGCCTCTCAAATTGGGTGCATTTGTGAAGCTTCATGCCAGGTTTTTAGGGCATTACGTGTACAGATATCATTACTTTGAGAGTCTGGATATGCTCCTCACAGAGCACACTTTACTGTGTGTCCTGGCCGCACATTGGGAACATCTCCCGTATTATTTACGGGGAGATGTTCCCAAAACAGGGTGGGATGTGGCTTAGAGGAAGGTGTGAGGTACACTATGATGAGCAGATACCAATTCTTACTTTGAGTGAAGTCGCACATGAGAATCTTTGTCACGTGCTCTCATTTGTTGGAAACTTGGAACCAGGTGGCGTGCTAAGTAATGGCTCCCCTCCCTCTATTGAAACTTTTTTCTTTTTAGAACTTTCAGTTCTAACATTCATGCATGGTCGCCAAAACCCTCACAATAATGAACAAAAATAACACACCTGTAAAATCTTGTAAACTACTCAAAACCAATTATACCTACTTCTTTACTTCCTCGTATTCTGCCTCTGGAGGTTGGTCACCACCCTGAGACCCTCCAGAAGCATTGGAGTGACCCGCCATGTGCTGACCAATCTTGGAGACAGCTTTGTTTGCAGCATCAAGCTTAGATTTGATGTCGTCAATGTCTTCCCCTGCCATCGACTTCCTAAGATCTGCCACTGCAGATTCAATCTCTGATGCAACCTCACTGGGGATCTTGTCTCTGTACTCAGAGAGACTCTTCTCTATGCTATAGATGGTTGTGTCCGCACTGTTTCTAATATCAATCAATGCCTTCCTCTCTTTATCCTTCTGAGCATGCAACTCGGCCTCCTTGACCATTTTCTCAATCTCATCTTCAGAAAGTCCTCCGGATGATCTGATTGTAATCTGTTGTTCTTTCCCAGTGGCCTTGTCCTTGGCAGAAACAGTGACAATTCCGTTGGCATCAATGTCAAATGTCACTTCAATCTGTGGCATGCCCCTAGGTGCGGGTGGCATACCTACAAGCTCGAACTCACCTAGAAGCTTGTTATCAGATGCCATTTCACGCTCACCTTGTAGCACCCGAATGCCCACTTGAGTCTGATTGTCAGCAGCTGTAGAGAATACCTGAGTAAGCAAATGCACTAGTCAATTGTAGAGATTGCAATTAAAAGGAAAAATAACCATATTAGTGATCCAAATAAGTACCATACATAGTCTAAAAATTGTATTGACTGATAATAATAAAGTGGATAGAGGTTTAGCTTGAGGAATGCATGCACAACAAAAACAGATATATGTGGTACTTATTCCCACCACCGTCAAGTGAAATAGTGGTATTAACACCCACCACTTATGACTTAACATGCTATCATACATGCCACACTTGCAACCTAGCAAGTAGAACAAAATCTCAAATTTGTGTAGCAGGGTAATACTTGATAATGCATCCAAATCAATTTAACCCAAGAGACCACATTGGGCACCAAACCTCCCTATCCAAATGGTTTACGGGACTAGCTCAGCAATTCTTTTCCTTCCCTCTCCCATCAGTATCATTTTTTACCCAACAGTGTACATGGAAACAGATATTAGCCAAAAAAAAAGAAAAGAAAGGTGCTGCACTGCATATAGGAGAACTACACCAGGCAAAGCTCTTAACCTGGACTTCCAGCAGATTTAGACTGATCTGAATTGTAGGCTTGTAGCATAAAAAAGTAGGTCCAGTTCAAACCTGACCCCAAACTGGGCTTTCTAGGCTGGCATTGACACCCAAATATATCCTGTGATTATGGCTTATCTCATGCCACACACACTAAGTGAACACCAAGTGTAGAAGTGTAGTTTGCCCAAAACACGGTGCCCTGGCCAAAGAATCAAATCTTTGTCCATAATGGGCAATCCTTGCTTTCAAATTCCTGGGGTCTATAATGGACATATGTCGCTTTCAAATTCCCTGGGAAATTAAAATTTGGAGATGCAGACAAACCTGGCTCTTCTTCGTTGGAATTGTTGTATTTCTGTTGATCAACCTGGTGAAAATACCACCAAGAGTTTCAATACCAAGGGATAGAGGAGTAACATCCAAGAGAAGAAGTTCCTTAACATCTCCACGGAGGATGCCACCCTGAATTGCAGCTCCCATAGCAACTGCCTCATCGGGATTCACCCCTTTGCTTGGACTCTTACCAAAGATCTCTGCAACAACTTCTTGTACCTTTGGAACACGGCTCATTCCTCCAACAAGAAGAACCTCATCCACATCCTTGGTGGAGATACCAGCATCCTTCAGACAATTCTTACAGGGGTTTCTGGTCCTTTCAATCAAGTGGTTCACCAAACTCTCAAATTTTGACCTAGTCAATGTAATGTTCAAATGTTTTGCACCTGATGCATCGGCAGTGATGAATGGAAGGTTGATTTCAGTCTGAGATGTGGATGAAAGTTCTATTTTAGCTTTCTCTGCTGCTTCCCGAAGTCTCTGCAGGGCTAGCCTGTCCTTCGAAAGATCAATCCCTTCTGTTCTCTTGAACTCACTCACCAAGAATTCTAACAAGGCATTGTCAAAATCCTCCCCACCCAAGAATGTATCACCATTAGTGGCTTTGACCTGAAGGAGAGGGAGTGAATTGAGAGAAATAAAGATGAAGAAACTCCAAACCAAGAGAAGAAAAAGGAAAAGGTCAAGGTAAATTATACCTCAAAAACACCATTTGAGATTTCTAGTATAGAAATATCAAAAGTGCCACCACCAAGATCAAAGACAGCTATGATACCCTCCTTGTTATTCAACCCATATGAAAGTGCTGCAGCTGTTGGTTCATTAATGATTCTCTGTACATCTAGACCAGCAATTCTTCCTGCATCCTTTGTCGCTTGTCTTTGTGCATCATTGAAATAAGCTGGAACGGTGATCACAGCTTTGGAAACAGACTTCCCAAGGTAAGACTCTGCGGTTTCTTTCATCTTAGTCAGAACAAAAGCCCCAATCTGGCTTGGCGAGTATTGCTGCCCATTGATCTCAACCCAGGCATCACCATTAGGGGCCTTGACTATCTTGTATGGAACCATTTTCATCTCTTTCTGTGTCTGAGGATCATCAAACCTTCTCCCAATAAGACGTTTGGTCCCAAAAAGAGTGTTTGTTGAGTTTGTCACAGCTTGGCGTTTGGCTGGAGTTCCCACAAGTAGCTCGCCCTTTTGGTTGAAAGCAACCACAGATGGAGTGGTCCGAGCTCCTTCAGAATTTTCAATAACTTTTGCGTTCTGCACCAGATGAAACCCTATAATTAGATATAACCAGATGAAACTCCTTGAGAATGAAATAACACTTTCAGAATTGTAAAAGATCTGAAAGATGAAGGTCCCCTGTACAAAATCCAACCTTTCCTTCCATTACTGAAACACATGAGTTCGTGGTACCCAAGTCAATTCCAATAACATCATTCCCAGCAGGCCTTGAGCTAGATCATAACAAATATTATCCCAGTTAACAAAATATTCAAGTATAATTAAATGCAGAGATATGAACAAAACCATTAACAACTAACAAGTACCTGAATGGCCTAGACAGACTTGCCCATTTGTGACCAAATGGAGAATTGGCCCATGAGATCTTGGCATTTTCAGTCAACTGCATAGTGCATCCAAAATAGGTAAGAAAACATCTATAGACAATTTGCTCAAGTTTGTCCCCAATTAATCCCAGATGGAACAATCATAGCTATATTGACAGCTCTTCTTATACAAAAATAGGAATATCATATCAAGTTGGAAAGGCAAGGGTTTGTATTTTACAACCATTAGGCAACAGGTAATTTCATAACTGCTAGATTCCATCTTTCAGAATGATGTTTTAGACATTTATTTCATACAGAACATAATACAAGTAGATTAAATTTGGCATACAATAGTATGCAGCCTTATTATTTATTAAGCTAATCAAGACAAGTACTAGAAATACGTAAGAACATACAAAAGACAATCTAGAATACCCTCAAGTATCAACTTAAAACTGTTAAATTCCACAGGATTACTATGCAATAGATAATAGATGAATTACTACAAAATAGACACCATAGTTAATCCACAATCATGTCCAAGACCTCTTTTATGTTCAGCTTAGCTGTCTCAGACATGTCATATACCCAATACAATACCAAATATTGTATGGATGCTACTAGAGTATATTTTAGAGCAAGAATACATTGTCACATTCTATGAACATGTAAATGAAATATTTTATAGTTGTGTACATGTAGGTGTCGTATTCTCATTCTTTGTATTGTATCTATATAATGTCCATATTCATATCTGGAAATCTTAGGTCCACTGGATTATAAACTAGTTGAATAAGCCACAAGAGTCTAATCTTCTCCCATTTTAAAATGAAATGCAAGAACAAAAAATATTAGGATAAAAAGAAGGGAAAACCCAAACTACAAAGGCCAAAGTTCCATTCGCAGTTCTATTTCACAGGGAATTGGATGATCATGCAACTTTAAGTTTAAGAAATAATAATGCAAGTTCTTTCCTTCACTAATACAACAGAACCCTATGGTTATCATTAATCAAATAACTACCCTTTCTACGTTCCGATAAAAAAATAAAAGAAGAATAAAGGGAAAAAGAAAAGAGTATCAGCTATTGAGCGGATTCGTCCTTGGTGCAATCTTCTAAATCTGCCACTTTATCTCACCATTACCAACCCAAAGGTAGATTAAATTAATCTCAGATTGAAATCTGAAAAACGCAATACATAAACACACAACCTGATTAAGAAATCTGAATCGACCTGTAGTATGATGCAGTGCTCAATCTGTGATTCTGTCACACACACACACACACACACACACAAAAAAAAAAGAAAAAGAAAAAGAAAAAAAGAAATGAAATGAAATCAAGAATTTGGTTCAATCAAAAGAACATGGCAATACCGAGACCTAATATA